AATATTAGAGCATATATACAGAGCTATTACTCAATGAAAGTAGGGGAATTCATAACTCCCGAGAGTATTTTGTCTATGGTATATGCTGCATTTCAAAGGGGTAAAAATGTCATCCTTCTATATGAATGAAGTAATTTCTGTTATAGACAAATCCCCAAACTCTTTCATTTGTCAAACCATTTAAAATGCTACAAACTACTAAAACTGACAAAAAATTCAGTAAACTAATTCTATCAGATAGTTAAGTTAATTGAAAGTGTCCTAAAATAGAGTAAATTGAATCTCACAAAAAATCCAGTTAAGTTAAAGTGTCTAATGCATATCTCTATTAACTCAATTTTGAACTCAAAATTCACTAAGCAGCAACTACATCCAAACCTATCATATGTGTGCCTATCATCTGTGAAATATTCACTTAAGCTCGCTCCAGCAACTAAATCAAAATCTATCTGTTCAGTGAACCTAGTTCATCAGCGTAGGCAGGCAGCGAATCGAGTAGTGAGGAGGTAAGGCAGAGGCCTTACAAGCAGTAGGACTTGGGGATGAACTGGAGTGGGCTGGCGGTGTTGAAGGAGAGGCAAGGCGGGCCGGCAGCATCGGAGGTGAGGTAGGGTGGGCCGGTGGCCTCGGAGGCGAGGTAGATGGGTTGTGGGAGGAATACACCAACGATGGCGCGGGCAACAACGACGGGGAGCTTGAGCGGAAGAATGGAGTGAGGCAGTGAGGAAATGAACGGCCGGGGGAGACGATACGACGAGCTTAGTAGTAGTGTGGGTCACGACCCCCCCGCTACTGCTAACCATAAAACTGCAGCGTTGCTGGACATGCACGCGCTATTGATAAATGGGGCCCACCTACTGGCCCCTTGTATACATAGTAGCAGCGAATGTTTACTAGCCCGCGCTACTAAATACTTTGTTAGTTGTAGTGCGGGTTTGTTATCCAACGCTGCTACTATTGCTAGCCCCGGGGTGTATCGTAGGTACCACTTATCAGTAGCATGGGTTTAGACAGATAGCGCTACTTCTAAATTCTACCTACAATGTGTCCTATTGGGCCGCTCTACTGCTAAGTAACAGTAGCGTCGGCTACTAAACCCACCCTACTACTATTGATATACCTATAGGCTTTTCCCTAGTAGTGACTGGTTTCCTATGTGAGTCCACTTATGCTCAACCAAATCATCTTGCAGTTGAATGTGAATTGTCCAATCACACATTTCTTGATGAATTGGATGGACTATGCATACATTGCCGCTCCATACTTAGGCACAACATTTTCACTCTGGTAATCCCACCCTTGGTGAAAGAGGTTGTCATCACGCTCATCCTCTATGATAATGTTGTGCATGATCACACAAGCAGTCATCATCTTTCACATTCTCCTACTGCTCCATGTTCTAGCAGGGTGTTGAAGAATAGCCCATCAATACTGAATCACACCAAAAGCACGCTCCACATCCTTGGTATCACTCTCTTGTTCTTTGGCAAACCTAGCCCTCTTCTCTCCTTGAGGCTCGGAGATTGTCGTGACAATCATAGACCACCGAGGATAGATAACATCAGCTCCGTAGTATCCCATGTTGTATTGGTGGCCATTGATCTCAAAGATGACCTCAAGGGAGTTGCCTTTCGAATGCCTCGCGAATACCGGAGGGCGCTGAAGCACGATTGATGTCACTGTGAGAACCTGTCATGCCGAAAAAAGAGTGCCAACTACAAACATCTTGTGATGCCACAACTTCAAGTATGACTACACATGCTTTACCTTTCATTTATATTGCACTTGCGAAGCAAATTGATAGTTCTTCCACTCCTAATGCACACAATCTATGCTTCCAAGCATTCCCAGAAAGGCTCTTGATTCATTGATCGCTAACAATTCGACTGTATCCGCATAATTTGGTTCAAGTACTATGGGTCAAACACTGCAACCACATGTTTAAGTACTCATCAATAGGATCACTAGTAATTCCGTATACAAGCATCTGAGCAGCTGCATTACATTTCTGATATGAGGAGAAGCCATCCTTTCCAAGGGTGTCATCCTTGAATTTGAAGTAATTATCATATCCCATCACCCCCTCTCGAATATTGTTGAACACATGTCTCGTCATTCGGAAGTGTTGTTGAAAAATCTTGGCAGAGAACAGTGGTTCTATGAGTTCAAAATAATCGTTGTAGAGCAGGCAATGACTACTTTTTTGTTACTATTCAAACCCGGAGCATGGGCCAGGATTGATCCTCTAAAAAATGGCCCTTCCCTCGGGATGTGCTCATTGATGAAGAAAGTAGCAACCACAACACCATCATCGTTAGGCAATTCTTTGGATGATGATGAACTTATGATGTTGTTGTAAAATAACTCATCTGAGCTATCCGCCATGATCTTCTGGAGTGATGAATTCGTACCTCAATAGACAGCGACTGGTGTGAACGGGCTATGGGTTGGGAATAAATCCCAAACAAACTAAACAATTGGAATTTTGACCCTTAGTACTCAGTTGTCGGGCCTCAAACTAAACTTCCCCGTGGTCCCTCAGCTCACATGAGGATGGAGTTTAGAAACCAAAATATAGTGATTCTGAGTTTGTGTGTCGCCTAGCCAGCCTCCATATACCTTATGGGGCTGCGGATATGGCGACTCTGCTGGAGTTCCTCTTATAGTGTGATTGAAGCAAGAGTGGCGGAGTTCTTAGTGTCAGGATGTATGAAATAAGGAATTTATTCCTTGGTCACTTTGAACATAGTGAAAATGGTTTTGACCATAGCACTCACATCCTAGTTGGACATGCCTTACACTCTTATATTGTGACCAAGGCAAGAGTGGCGGAGTTGTTCATAGTAGGATTACGAGGCGCCTATGGTGACTTTGTCAATGTCGATGCTATATCGGTTCAGTCTTTCGGAGGTGCTTATAGGGATTGTTTGTGTGTGTGTGCGCGCGCGCGTGTTCATGGGGGTGAGTGTATGTGAGCGACTTCGATTGTAGTGTGTTCAAAAAAATAATATTGCCCAGTCACTTCCAACACACTAAACATAAGCCATCATAAGTTAATCAAAAAGATGTTCAAGAATATCTCAGAAAAAAGGAATGTTCGTTAGTCTGGTGGACCCTCATAATTAACAAAAAAAAGTCTAATGGGAGAGGTGCATTTCAAAAGTGTCAACAGAGACCACGTGACACATGTGGTAAAGCAATCCAAACAATTCCAAAAAAAAGTGTGCACAGAGTTTATTTTTATTTTATTTTTTGCGGGGGAAGTGTGCACACGAATTACCTCTAAATTATTTCCATGTAGCGTACAATACAGTCCAAACTCGGAAGCATATATACGGTTTTTAGTTTGGAAGCATATATACGTAACATATAATTTCATGCTTGTTCCAGTACTAGCTACTGAGTAGACAGTACCTGTGCTTACGTACGTACACTACCTCTCTCTATGCATAAACAGTGTTCTCAAGGCAATGGAGATAGATGCGACAATCCAGTGACGAGTGAAGTGAGCCAATCTTCCTCCAATGAAGAAACCCCCTGTAAAAAGGAAGCAGCCTGTGACGAGAGGACGAAGCACCTCCTTGTTGGACGCAAGTCCGAAATTAATGATCTCCGTCATCATACACATCCCTTTGGCTCCAGGCAAGTTGTGTCCGTGTGGGGGATAGCTGGCGTTGGAAAATCAGCTCTGGTGCGAAACGTGTACAATGAGCACAGAACGGCTAAACGATTTAGCAAGTGCATCTGGGTGGATATATCACAACCCTTCAATTTAAGTGACTTCTGTCGGAGCACACTTTCGGATTTTCAATCAGAAAAACACCCCATTGAAGAGTGCCGTCAGCTTCTTCAAAATCAACGGTGCCTACTTGTCATCGATGATCTCCAGTCCATGGAAGAATGGGACATGATAAATACGACCTTGTTATCTCAAGCTTTCAAAAGTGTCGTCGTCATCATTACAACAGAAGCAAGCATCGCATATCGTGCAAACAGCTCATTTTATATCAAAGCACTAGAAGCTGATGCTGCCATTGATCTATTCAAAACGCAGGTGTGTGCTCTAACGCGTACGCCTAATTTTCCAGGCCACATGCATGTTCTCGCAAACTTAATTAATAGGATTTCTTTTTTGCCACTTAAATAATCAATATCGATGTAAATTATTTTGTTGCATCTGTACACATTTGTTGTCGTTTCAGTTACAGGAGATCGTTGTTGTGTACTTCCCCCCGGCGGATAGTTGTATTTTATTTTGTTAAGACAAGGGTTTAACCAACAATTAACTTATTATATTTTCCTCCATTTTAAAATATATGGCCTATTTTGGTTATGGGTGCAACTTGGTCTCAGTCGACTGAGACTGACATAGTATATAAAAAGAACAAGGAAAAAATTGAAGAGAAATTTTTGTATGATTCTCCATGCAAGATCAAAGGAATATAGCATCGACTGAGACTTAACGAAGTCTCAGTCGACTGAGAGTTAGCAGAACTGTTTGGTTATTGCATGTCTTTAAATAATGATTACTTTTAGTATGTCACCAATATTACAATCATAAGTAATTCCCACTTATATGACATAAATTGTATACTGGTAATTGAGTATTTTTTTACTAAGCCATTATCTTACAAACCAAAATAGGCTTTATCATCACTGCTATTAAAGAGGAGTTTGCAGTCATCGTAATGGTTCAACTTATCCTTCTACCCCTTTTGCACACATATTAATGTCGGCTCACCCATGGACATCCCATCGTTGCTCGAAGCCAAATTTGGCTGCCAGATCCTATTTGGAGCATAGGTCGCCAAATAGCGACCAAACGCTCACGCACTATGTACACTTTAGCCGGCCCAACTAGCTCCTTTTCGGTTTTGGAAAGGTTCTAGAACCTCCCCACAGCCCGATTTAGGTGGGGGGCTAGGAGACACCACCTGACCTGAAACAGTTAACAAAAGTTGATTGCCATTGCCACTACTCGAGCAAGGAAGATCATCAGAGGGGGCACTGGTGTTACCCAACCCGGTTATGGTCATCTTACGGCATGGGTCAAGGTCAGCCTCTCCATCAACATCAACATTAGATTTCATTCAGAAAACCTCCATGTTGCCATCGTCTTCCGATTTCTCAAACAACAATGAACCATTGCGAGCATCCTTACCAGATCGTTTGCAACCTCTCCCACGCCCACCGATACACATATTCCATATTGCACATAGATCAACACCAAAGCCGGCAGGGGGTGTATACCATCGCCATGCTCATTGAACAAATGGCCAATCATAACACAAATGACACACAAATCTGGGAGCTTCTCGTACTTAACTTTGAAGATATGCCACTTCTTGTCCTTCATGACCGAGACATGGTTGTTTAGCGGTTTTCTAACATCCACTATGACCTTCAGCTGATAGAAATTACCAGCAAAGTCACACGAGTGAGTCCCTTGGCATAAAACCCCAACTAACTTACCAGAAAAAGCCTTCGCCATTGGGCCAAAGCCATCTGGCGGATCTTGAATTTGTACCCAAATTTGATCTTGTTCAGATGGATCGTTTAAGGTTTACTGAAACCATCATATGGCGCCATTAGAACTGGGTTAGTGCAGATTGTCCACAAGCCGCCCTCCATCATCTTGTTCCAGTCTCCAAGGCAAGAAAATTGATCGTGTGCAGATTATCTCCGAGCAATCTAAATTTGAACACTTGATCCAAATGTCAAGCAGTACGCACGTTCTTAAAAAAAATAGTCATCGTCATATTCCTTTGACGTGTGAATTAACCTTAGCAATCGTCATATTTCTATCAAGTAACTTCGCTAAGAAAATAATCATCATTATCAACTTTATTGCAGCGGAAAACTAGCAATATACATTTCTCAATCTTTATCAAATTCTCTGAAAATTGGTCATTGATACAAAATTTATCAGAGATTTGAACTTTTAACTATAAGACTCATTGAATTATAATATTGTCATCTTCAACGTTGGTCAGAAAATAACAATATCATAATTAAACTTTAATCAAATACCTTTCTACTGTCATAGCAGAAGCTATCTGAATCTGATTTCACCCACAAGTGAAAAACTTCTCTCAGAAACCGTTCTTCCAATTAAATTTTCCTGTTGGTTCCAATTTAATTGGAGGATAAAACTTTTACTTTCTTTGTAAAAGAGCACTATTAATTATTTACGCAGCGAAAAACATGAATAAAAATTCATGAAATTTTTATTCTTTACATAAACTTTTCTTTGGCCAAATTAAAAATTCATGAACTTTATTATTTTCTTTGTAAATTCATGAACATTTCTTTTTCTGAAAATTTTCTATTTTCATTTTCAGACCTTTTTGTTTTCTATTTTCTAAACAGAATTTTCATTGGAAAAATTTGTATAGAAAAGCTATTGTAAATCTGCCCAAAAATAAATGGACAGAAAACTACTAAAAAAAATTGCAGCTGGCCCAGCGCGCGGCTGCGGCCTCGGCCCAGCTCCCACCGCGCGCGCACGCGGCGGCTGGCTACGGCCCAGCGGCAGCGGCGCCCCGCCTCCACTTTCGGCCCAAAGGCCCGCTCTGAGCTAGGCACCGAGCTAGGGTTTCAATCCCGGCCGTCGAACGCGATCCAACGATCCAGCGTCGATCTCGCGTGAACAAAACAACCCCCCAACCGATCCAAAAACCCTGGCCTATTTTCGTTTTGTTCTTGCCCCTTCTGTCTCTCTCCGCCGACGGCGGAAGCACGAGGCTGCTCCCCGGCCGGCGGCGGCGGCGGCAGCGGCCACTGCGCCGCGCCGCGCCTCTCTTCACTTTCTTTCATTCATCTCTTCGACTCTCTCCGTGGCTCTTCTATCGACGGGGACGGTGACGACCCGGTCTCTCTCCCGACGGCGAGGCATGGGGCTGCGCCCCGGCCGCGGGCGACGGCAGCAGCGGCCACTGCGTCGCGCCTCGCCTCTCTTCACTTTCTTTCATTCATCTCTTCGACTCTCTCCGTGGCTCTTCTGTCGACGGGGACGGCGGCGGCCCGGTCTCTCTCCCGACGGCGAGGCATGGGGCTGCGCCCCGGCCGCCGGCGACGGCCGCGATGGATGTCGGGCCGCGTGCGCCTACTCTCCCTTCCCTTTCCCTTCTTTCTGTTCTTCTTCCTGTTTGGGAAAAGAAAAGGCGGCGCCCTTGTTGGTCGCTCCGGCTGCCGGCGACAGCGGCAAGGGCCACCGCGCCGCGCGAGCCGTTTCCCCCTCTCTTCTTTCCATTTACCACCTCCTGTGAGCGCGAGAGACGCCTGTTCGTCGCGCCCCCAAGCTCCCATCTGAGCCCGACATTGGAGTGGCAGCGCCGTTGCCGACCCCTTCGCCGGTCGCGCGTTCCCCTTGCCGGTAAGCGCGCTGCCGTCGAATGGATCAGTGGTGGTGCTCTTTGCCCCCCAAAAAGGGATGGTTCTTCGTCCCTACACCTCGGCTTGCCGATGCGTGTGGGGATCGAGAGGAACAGGCGCGGCCGGAGTGGCGGCGCTTTTTGCCGGCGAGCCCAAGGCTCTGCTCCGGTGCTTTTCTTTGCCCTGTTCTAGGGTTCCAGGGGAGGGGAAATTTTCTCTGTCTTTTATTTCAACCGAAAAATCCTAGACACAACCTGGGACTGATACCATTGATAGATCCATGGGATCGTGTAGGGTAGATGATATCCGGTAAACCTACCTTCTGTCTATGTCGATGATCCCGCCGGATGGCGACGGCGGTGATAACAGAGAGTGGATGGCGGCGGTGGTGGAGCTTCCCATCGCTTCAGTGCCTCCCTCTGGATCGGATAGGGTTAGGAGTGGGTAACAGCGGCGGTGATGAACCTCGTACCCCGTGCCCCTGGTCCCCACCTCCTCTTTATAGCACTGCGCGACAGGGGCCCACCAGCCTTGCTTGAGCTGGACGCCCCCGATCAGGGCGTGGGTCAAGGGCCCAATGAGCCGTTGGGCCCATTGGTGGAGAGATCAACCAAACAACGAGGTCACCCCTTAGTCAGCCTGAGCGGTCACAAATCAGATAGGAGAACGGCGGATAATTCTAGACTTACAAACACTTACGTAAAGTTTTACGTAACCTTCCTTCATAATTCTATCCCCCCTGATTTTAAGTGGGGTGGGCCCCCTCTCCTCCCTAATCCCAATCACAAATTGCCAGCTGTCTATCACGTAAGATTACGTTAGTTTTGTTCATAGATGTAGCATTGCTCGAGAACGGCGTTGGGATATGGGGGACTCAGCACCGGGCCAGGGGAAGCGAGCAAGAAACTCTAACAAGAGGGGAGCTTAAACCTTGGTTTTTCTTTTTCTTGTTATAGTGGCATCCTTTTCATTTTTTGACCACCAGTTATAGTGGCCTCCTTGTTCCAAGCTCAAGTGTGATTGCATTTCCGTTTACAATTCTCATGGATAATGCATGCATGTTATGTAACTTTACCATAATAATTATCTAATGTTGATTCGTCTTAAAAGATCCAGCTGAAGAAGCCGTCATCACCGCTGTTGCGTTACAGAAGTGAGGAGATAGAAGAACTTGTTTTGAGGTGTGGGGGTCTTCCCAGTGTAATTGTTGCGATAGCAGGTGTATTCGCTGAACTGACGGTCACAGCGAGATGTAATTTGAATTGGGGATTTATGCACCACCTGGAGACCAAGCCGGAGTATGATAGTCTACGGGGTCTAATTGGTTGGATGGATTCCTTCTTTCGTACTTGTCCTGATAAACTCAAGCCATGTATCATGTACCTGTCAATTTTTCATCAGCATGAAATCATTAGGCGGAGGCGCATAACAAGGCGGTGGATTGCAGAGGGTTATGCGAGGGACAGCTATGAAGTAACTGCACACAGGAACGGGGAGCTTTACTTCTGCCGCCTCCTTGATTTGAACATAATCCAGCAGCCACACAAAAAAATTGGCACCGCCAAACCGGGTGACACAAAGATGGTTCTGTGCCAGGTCAATGCTTTCTTCAGTGAATACATCATATCACGGCTATTAGAGGAGAACTTTGTGTTTAATCTATCGGGTCATTGTGCTCCAACCACCCAGCGCACAGGGCGTCACCTTATCATACATAAACATTGGGATAGAGACATAAATGTTTTCAAGAGCACCGACTTCTCGCGGCTACGGTCACTGACAGTGTATGGCAAGTGGTGCTCATTCGTTGTCTCTGAAAGAATGAAGTTTCTCCGGGTGCTTGATCTGGAGGATGCATCTGGAGTAAGAGATGAGGATCTCGAGAAGATCGTTAAATGGCTGCGTCGCCTCAAATTCCTCTCACTGCGTGGACAGCGTGAGATATACCATCTACCAAATTCACTGGGTCATCTCAGGCAACTGCAGACCCTGGATATCAGACACACGTCAATAGTCACCTTGCCGGAGAGCATCACCAAGTTACAAAAGCTACAGTACATACGTGCTGGCAACACAACCGACAGTAACCCAGCTGCATCAGCACCACCTACTTCATCCAGCAGTCGGTTCTGTAGATCTCGTCGTCACACGGTTGGTGTTGAAGTGCCTAGAGGGGTTGGCGAACTCACAGGGTTGCACACACTCGGTGTCATCAATGTCGGTGCTTCACGGGGGAAGGCCGTCCTGGAAGAGGTCAAGAAGCTCACACAGTTGCGCAAGCTTGGGGTGTCTGGCATCAGCAGGAAAAACAAGGAGTTTTTATCTGCAATAGTGGAGGGTCACGGCCATCTCAAATCGTTATCAGTGCATCTCGACCAGGACAATAAGGGTTGCTTGGATGACATCTCCCTGCCTTGGAAGAACCTAAAGAGTCTTAAGCTGTATGGGCTTGCACATACGTTGCCACTTTCAAGCAATCCAGATCAGTATGGCAAGCTCAGAAAACTGAATCTGGAGATGGAGACTTTAGAGCCAAGTGGCATTGAGGTCATTGCACGGCTACCAGAACTATGCATCCTACGCCTTCGAGTCAAACAGCAGCTACAGGATGGTAAGCTCCATTTTTTATGCTGAGATGCATGGATTTGAATTGGACACCTTCCAAAAGGTGAAGATCCTCGAGATTGCTTGCAGCTCCAGCGAGTTACAAGTCACATTTGGATCAGAAACGATGAAGAATCTTGAGTTGCTCGAGCTGAACTACTCCAGTGCATCGTATCAGCTTGCCGGCCTGAATAATCTATCTAAACTGAAGCAAGTCCTGCTCAAGGGTACCAATGATGAAGCATTCAGGGCAGAGTTTGCGAGCCATCTTGCCAATCATCCAAGGCAACCTGTTGTGAAGCTGGAGGAACAACTACCGCGCTCGTCCTGAAGGGTCGACATTGTCTCTGTTTATTTCCCTTCATTTTCTTTTGCCTGCCACTAGCTCGATCTAGCCTTTGCAATCCCTGGCTTGTTTGTTTGTGTAAAGGCTTCGTACTTGTGGATTGTTCTTACTAGCCAAGCCCGCGCGGCGGCACACCGCGCCCGTTGAGATGGAGGTATTGTATGTACTGAAATATTTTGCATGCATACTATTTTCATCAAGTGGTGATTAAAGAGAAAAATGCTTGCATTCATATCTATCTTACACACCGCATAAAACTAAGATGGAAGAGAGACAGTACTACATTCCGGAGAAGATCCCCTTATTGTCAGTGGACATGATGAACTGAAAAGAAACAGATACGATGGGAATTCACACAGTAGGAAAACACACAATATACTACAAGAGTCCAGGTGCGAGCATAAGTGGCATTGGAATCGAATCATCTTGGTATAACCCCCCGCGGGGTTAGGACCAACTATGAAATGATAAAGCACCTTTGCAAAGTGTTCCAGCCGTCCCATAGATGGGAAACTGTCTGTGTAACTGATGATACAGTCTTCAGTAAATGGGTGTTGTGGGTGCATACGAAGGGGGGCCACATCAGAGAAGTCGTCGCATATGCGGGCTAGTATTTCTGTCTGCCTTGCGTACTCAGCCTGGTGAGCGGTGATTTCCCGCCTAGCCATGTTAAGCTGCCACTTCTTTGCACGTAATTTTTTTTGAGTTGGTAGTAGCTTTTCCTTTGTGACCTGCAACATATGATAATTTTGTTATCGTTGATGGTGATGTTGTAATTCTCACAGATGTAGTTCAATGCTGCTTGAGCAGCTCCTTCTTCGGCCTCGTCTGGTGTGGCAGCAGGCTCCCCTTTAAAAATCATGGGATTTTCATTGATACTGCCTGGATGTTGCGCTGCCCCTATGTGGACGGATGCTTGTATTGTGCCATAAAGATAGCTACAGTGAAGGTATCCTTGCACATCTTGCTTTATCGCCGAACCAACAGCTTGAATTTCTTTAGAGGGCGTAGCTGATAGCTTGTGTGAATGCTTGGATACGATTGTGTGCCGGTTTTGGACATGTGCATGTGATTGCTGGATCGTCGTCGTGGGTACATATGAAGGGGCAAAATGTCAGAAAAGTTGTTGCATATTTTTGATAGGATTTTGAGTTGCGTGGCGAAGTCTTTTTGCTGGGACATTTGGTTAGCCACGTAGTTCATGTGCGTGGGCATTTCTCTTTGCTGTTTTTTATTGGGTTTTTGGTGATGTAAATCTTTGTAGTATTTGGAAACAGATTTTGTTCATCAGGGTTTCTTATTATAACTGTAGTCCTACTACATGGCCTCTAACTGAATTGTTCAAAAAAAATTGGTAGGTTTGTGTCCCTATGATTTTATTTTTTCTTGCTTATTATTAGGTGTGTGATACCTTGCAAGCTCGCATGAGACTATACATTCACGAACCTGTCTCACTGCCATCTCAGCCTGTCTTGTCCTTTCCTTTTTTTTCAGGAGGAGAAGAGAGCAGCTCTCTTTGCTGCTAGGAACATGATCATGACTATCCAACGGTATATATTTAGCATCTAAAAGACAGAAGTAGGATAAAGTAGTCAATAATCGTTTGACAACGTAAAGCTAACCGTGAGCAGCGGCCGGGAGAGTCTGGACGATGAAATTGCAGTCGAATCGCCACAAACTGCCGCTGCTATTGTATCGGTTGCTGCACCTCAAGAGCCGGCCCCATGGCGAGCGGATGTCGGCAACAGAGCATGGAGGTCTCCCTCTCTGGTGTGCTTTAGCGATGGCGCCCCCGTTCCTCGACCACCTTCCCTTCCGCTCCACGCCACACGCCCGCGCTCCTCACAGGGCGCTATGGCCGGCTCACGTCCCGACATCCCGTGGCGGAGCTACAGGAAAAAGGCTGGGTGGGCCACGGCCCATTCGGCCTTGCCTAAGCTCCGCCAGTGCCGCCATCGTCGCCACCTCGACGGTCACTAGGAATTGCTCCTCCTCCGCTCGCCAACCGGTCGCGCTTGGCGTCCTTGCGAGAGGTCTCCTTCGTTTACAGGCACTCATCCTCACCAGCCACGACACTCATCGACGCCTCGTGCGTCGTGTCACCGTTGTGCACCTCCTACCCACTCGCCACGTTGACATGATGTCCAACGCCGCCATCGCCCTTCTCCGCCAGCCTCGATCGACCTCACGTCAGACGCCACCATCGCCCGCGATGCGCCCTGCGCACCGACTGGCGCACTGAGCACGGTCGTCATCATGCAGTATTTAACAAGGCGTCGCGGCGACCTACGTCAAACGCCGTCACCACCCGCGAGCTACATGCCATGTTACGTTGCCTCATGCGCTGTGACGCACGCATCTGACATGCCCACCCGTCATCGTTGCCGCAATGGTCTGCTTGCACCTCCCTCCGTTCATCTTCTTGTAGGTGGTCCACCGTCGCGCAGCCGACAACAGCACGGACGTTGCCAGGGTTGCCGAGCACGATGAGACCAGTAGGAGGTTGGCGAGTCCGCGAGGCGCGCTCCTGCGGCGACCGGGACCTCCGCCTTGGTTGATGTGCATGTACGCCGTCACCGCGTACCCGTGGCCTTGCTCGCTGAGAATCAACCACACCTTTGGATGGGGGAGCAGGGGATGGAGCGGCCACACGATGAGAGAGAAGTAGCGAAGGGGAGAGATGCGGCATGCACCAGGAGAGGAGATGGGTGGCCGCTTGCCGGTGATGGAACTGGGAGGTCGGGTGCTTTTATGGACGCATAAAACGGCGAATCGGTGGTGAGATTCTTGTAGAAGAAGCGAGACAAAACTACGTGGTCACATCACACGTCGCACCGCTGCATGTATGCACACCCATCGTGCCATGTAGTCATATCAACGGTCACCACCTACCCAGCCGCATGCATGCACATCTACCGCCCCACAAACAACAGGTTTGACTTGCAAAAGATCTAGCTGAAAAATCGCAACATCCACACGTCCTGAATACCCGCCCATGTTACCTCAAAAAAAAAAAAGAATACCCGCCCATGTCTCAAATTAATCACACGTGTCAGCATCCAATTTATAGATTGAAGCTGAGAGAAAAAGCGCTAAAGACACCCCAAATGTACATGCAGAAATACGAATCAGTTAACAAAATTTACATTGCAGGCCTACAGTCACAACGAATTTGTACACACCCATATCCCAATTAAATACACGTGTCAACACACATCGATTTACCACGTCGCCGTCGACCAAGTGGGTGAACCTGGTAACGAAATCATCCCGGAATATAGGGGCTTGGTGATTGCTGGTTACAGCATGCACTTTCTTTTGTCAAAATAAACTATACTCTGCCAGTTGTTTGATTCTGCTTACATACACATGGCTTCATTGTGATATGTGGTTAGTTGATGTGCAGGACAGCTACCATGTATTCTACCATTATTCATTGTGATATGTGGTTAGTTGATGTGCAGGACTGTTGCCATGTATTCTACCATTATTCATCATGATATATGGTTAGTATCGTGTAATTTGATACAGGGGAGCCATTCTGCTAATTGTTATGATTACCGGTATATATCAACCATGGAAGCTTGTAATACGTCTACTTTACTTCATCGATAAAGGGTGCGCTCATTGATTATAAGTACTGTAGTTATTCATCAAGATCTCACCTCAGATTAATGTTGCTCCTTTGGCATGTGCCCAGCATTTAGACGTGTGAGTAGTAACGAATGGACACCCAGAAACATTCATCATCTGACAATAAGATAGATCAATGAGACAAATCATGACTAGCTAGCTCCGAATCCATAAGACCAGACATGTTTAATCCCACCACTAACCATCAGCAGAACTAAAAGAAATCAGGATACGGAAGGAGAACAAGTTAGCAGTAGATCATGTGAGCAAGCCATCTCTCCACGTTCCAAAGCGAAAGGTTTCCGTGAACCACCGAAGCTTGTTATACTTCTACTTTAGTTCATCAGTAAAGGGGACACTTGTTGATTATAAGTACGGTAGCTATTGTTCATGATCTCACCTCAGATTAATGTTGTTCCTTGGCATGTGCCCAACATTGAGATGCGTCAGTAGTAACTAATGGACACCCAGAAACATTCGTCATCTGTCAATAAGACAGATCCGTGAATCAAATCATGACTAGCTAACTCCAAACTTGTGAGACGAAACATGTTTAGTTCGACCACTAACCATAAGCAGAACTCAAAATTCTTGGTATCGGTTGAAAAGAGGTTATCCTGGATCATGTGAGCATGCCTACACTTTCGCTACATTACTCCCCGTTTAGTCATCAGTCCACACATCAAGGTTTGAATTCAGCTCTTTGCTTTGTCCTACGCAAATACTTGGAACGCCACCAGCCACCAGTACGGCTTCACTCTTGAGCTGCATCGCTTCCCTCCTCCAGCGTCTCTTTCTCCTTTTGCTGCTCCACTGCGCAGGAACAGAAAGGTTCAACGTGAGTAATAAGTGAATGCACAACAGGAAACTAAGCTCAAAACTAACTGAAACAAATATCTACCAGTTACTACTCACATCACATGCAATCTCCGCCAGAGCTTTCTGGGTGCGCTTCTCCAGCTTGTCGATCCTCTTCTGGACGTCACGTTTCAGGTCCCAGTTTGGGTTCTTTGGAACAATGTTCCCAAAGGGGTTCTGCAGATAAATAAAT